ATCCGGACAAAGAAGATATGACTAATGGAAGAAAAAATATTCAAAGAAGGCAACACAAGACCATCTAACCGGTTAGAAGACTCATCTAAGCGATTAGATGGCAAAACAGAATGGAAGCAAGGCTGCCAAAAGCCATCTAGCCGATTACGAGATTTCACCAACCCGTATAGTTGAACCACAGCTGAAAACTGCTTCCTACCAGTTAGGGTTTTCTTGAAGAAAAAAAAATGAGTTTTTGAGGGTCAAGATGAGGTTTTTTGAAAAAAATTTGTGAAGTAACCGCCCCTAAAATTACATTTTCTAAGTGACCATGTTAAGAGAAGTTCTTATTTTTCAAGTGAAATACCCAAAATGCCCCTAAGATCAGATTTGCAAAAAAAATAAAAATGAATGTTACTCTAAGTGTTCATTTCATCAAGAATGGTATTGTGTGCAATTTTAAACATGCACGCAAACGTAATATGCATATTTAAGTGTGTTACAATGGCCGACAACCTTAACACATGTCATTTGCAAAATATCATACCTCAAACCTCAAGTTCGCAAAATATTTTCGAATAAAACATAGAACTAAATGAGTATACTTGCAAACTAAAAGTACTTAACCATTGACCTCATTACACACATATCAAATGAGTTTCAAAAGGTGCACTTAAGTGCTCATTATATATCCAAGTTAATTATTACAAGATTTGACATATTAAACCAAATGAAAGCTAACATTATAACATGTGTATGTTTTCAAAATACACAAAATACTCCAAGCAACCAAGTAAACATAGGGATGTTGTGCATCCCAAAACAAGGTCTCCTTACATGAAAAATATCCCAAATAACGAGAGTGAGTAATCAAGTTACTCGTAGGAAGAGGTGCATGCGTATACCCTAAAGTTTCAAATGTCTTGCAAACTCAATATAAATCAATACAAATGATCATTCCACCTAACGTCTATGTTACAAGGTGAGCTAAGGGATCATCTCAAGTTACACAAGCAAATGAAATGATAAAAGACAAGGTATTCAAGTATATAAGCTCGAGTATACTAAACCATATTAAAGCTTTAAGTCAAATCACAAGTTAAAAGTAATCCATGATTAATAACTTGGAATTAAATACGAAATCAAGTAATTGGAAAAGACTAGGACATGTGGCCTCAAAACCATACAAGTTATTTCGAGTAATTACAATCCACAAGGTACTATCTAGTGCGCACTATGACTTAGGGAGAACTTGTATCTCCTGTACTAGAGCCAAACCCTAGCCATCACATATTTCATATCCTTACAAGCTTCCCAAAATCAACAAGTTCATGACATATACTCAACAATAATGTATGAAACTACCTGCCAAGCACAAGTAAGGTGAAACCACACAAACCATGTCCTAAGGTTCCATGTCTACAATGGCATACCCCATGTTGAATCTTCAATGTGCGATTCATTACACTTACAATGAATGTCAAATGTCGAATTTTCAATGTGCGATTCGTTGCACGCAAGTCAATGACATTATATATAACACTAAACTAATTTACCATCAATGTAAGCCACAATTACGAATCCACACAATATAGTAATAAGCTAACAAGGTAAATACAAGTGTAGTCTACAAGATTTTCATAATAAAACCTCAATGAAATCTCTAGAATTAAACAAGTCATTAAAAAATATCATCCTTACACAATCTAAATATAATTATGCATGCTTTAAATCACAAACTCTAAGTCAAGCATATAAAATCTCTGTTATATGCAATACAAGAATTGAATAAGCATATAATCAATATCTATTAAGCTTCAAATACATATAAAACACAAAGGAAATAAACATACAACCACCCCTACCTCACTAGAGAATTGAATCTCTAGAATCCAAGGCAACCAAGCTTAAACCGGAAAACCGAATAAGGGTTTTATAGAGGGGCATGAGGGGAAGCTTTTACCTTCCAAAGGTTAAGCCAAAAGTTAAAGGGAAATGGTTCAAAACCAAGGTTTAAAGGCTAGGTCAAGGTGTTCTTTAAAGGAGGCAAGAGAGGGGAAAGTGAGAAAGAGATGAACACTTAGTGAAATTTAGTATATTTCTCCACTCACTAGGTGAAGTAGCACTACCTCTCACACACACACGTCATCAACACCCTCCACTTGTCAAAACATCACACAACCTCACAAGATCACATCCTAAGCCTACACTTGTCACCATCTTAAGCCTCCTCTCAAGGCTTAATCCAAGCTTTACACTTGCCTTCATCAAATGCCAACAAGTGTACCAACCATAGGGCACCAAGTGGGTGAATCCTCACCCTACACATGTCATCATCCAAGGCTATCAAGTGTCACCACTAACAAGCCTACAAGTGGATCAATGAGAGTGTGACACTTGTCACACTTTTCAAAAATTGTAAAAAGGTCTCTCCCAAAAATATCTCACAAAATAAATTAGAAAATGGTCTCTAAGACAAATATCCCAAAAAATTTTATTTATGAAAAACACCA